AAATTGCCCATTCACTTATAATCCTCATCTTGATGTGTGTGCAAGTGTTTGTTCTCTATATTAGTATCTCATCGTTTGTTAGCATTATTTTTCTGTCTTACTATCTAGAATTGTTCATGAAGTGCTGACCCTTGTTTGATGTTTCCTTGTGCTATGACACAAACCTTTGGTGGGGAACCACTCGTTTCCTTTCTTAGACCGACATTAGCTAGTGTAAACCAGGATATAACTTGTTGGTCTTGTATTAAGAATCATTCTGATAAATTTGAAATTTTATTTCTGTTCCTTAGGGGTATGACTAGATTGGTTGACTTAGCTAGGGATCCACTTTAGGATCTACTGGACATTGGTCTTACAATACATTATTTAACCACTGTTCTTCTTTCAATGCAGTTGTTCCATTAAATGCCTTAATTTGTACGGGAGATAGGAACCAAAATATAGCCTGGTGGGTATTATCCACTTAATACATGGAAGATTGGGATGCTTTATTCTCACCTTGCGAGTGATATTCATTTTATGAACTAATAGTTGATTTTGCCTGTAGTTCTGTAAATGTGTAAACATGCTTTTACATTCCATTAGTGTACATGAGAAATTTACTTAGTTAGGTGTCTTAGTTTCAACACTAAAAAATGTTTTGCAAAGCATTTATTCATTGTTAAATTCTTTTAAAATCTAAACAGACTTATCCGGTTATCTGTTTTAGGATTAATGATTCTTGGTGAAATTCCAAGCAATACAATTCTTCTGCCCAATGTTAAAAATATTTCTGTTTACATTAAAAGTGGTTCAGTTCATGTTTTGATCTCTTAAAAATAATATTTTCTTTTAAAATTTTCTTAGAATTTATTTTGATAATATTTCTAAATAAAAACGCATTGTAAGTAAACATATTGTTAAATGAACTGACACTGAAATTAATACTAAATTTGGTACCATAGGTTTTCTATAGTCAATGATAGATGATGAAATATCTTGATATTTAATTTATATAGGTTACTTCCGTTCCTAGAAGAATAAAAAAAGAGGACTGACTTTCTTGATATTATGTTTAAATGTTTTTTAATCTGAACAACTTTTGTGCTGCATGTAAAAACATAATAGTTATAGTTAATTAAAAAGAAAGGATTGATATTTATTTTAGGCACAATAAATCAGCATTTTCACTCTGATTATTTATCCTGTTGGAAATACAAAGAAGGGCCCTGGAAGAGACCCGACAGATACATGTAATAAATATTTAGGTTAAAATATTTTATAACCCACCTCTATGTAGTTTTTCAAAGATCTTTGAAAAATAAATCAAATTCTCATATTCTGTTGAAATATCTTTATAAATTAAATCAACTGAACATTTTTTCACTGAAACCTCACTAATTAGAATATCAAATGTCACTCTAAAAAAATCTCAATATTTCTTCCAACTTAATCCCTAAACTGTCATCATAATATATCCTTCAATTGTGTTCAATTTTGTGCTTTTAAAATTACTTTATCGTTACTTTATCACAGTTGAATATCCAAATAATTCATTATACTTTGATATAGTTTTTCCATCACCTACAGTCTGATTATGTTATCTTCCTTCTTAGCCAATCCACAAGTGTTTTTCTCCTAATGGCCTAACCTAGATTCTTGAGGAAAGATATCTGTTCATGGAGTGTGACCTCATAGCAAGTCCATTTAGTTACATTTTGGCTTTTGCAATAGTTGTCGCAATCAAATTTCCTTTACTATATTTTTCTGTCGCTCTTTTCCCTTTCTTGGAAAGTTGATAGTCCATTATTGAGAACGAAAAAGGTGCATTCCAGTGTTCACTGTTCCCTTTTATTAAACAACTGCAATATTTCAACCTCTTTCCATGGAAAATGGAAATGATTGACAGATACTCGTCTGAAAACCAAAAACAATTCTTGTGTTCAGAAACACTCGTGATTTGATGTCTATAATTATCCATCAGAAATGGAAATAAGTTCCTTCAAAACAAATAAAGACAAACATTTGTTATTATAAAATAAAAACCTTATGAGAAAAAAACAGTTCTGAATCTTAAAACTAAATGGGCTTTGTAGCTTGATTAACATAAGGCCCATATTTGTTTAGGTTTTCAATTTGGATTTTTCAAGTGCCGTGTTTACTCCGGTAAGTTAGACTTAGACTATTATTTGCGTGTGAGAAGGAAGAACATATGGCATCAGTGGACGCAAATATCCGTCATCCATGGGTCCTTTCTCCAAGAATGGAATCAATCACCAATTTAATCAAATTTTTACCATGTTGAACATTATTTTTTTAACATAAAAAATTGAAAATTTTATATTAAATCATATAAAAATAATATTAATTTATGCTTAGTGGTAATGAAATAACAATAGTTGTCATGTGGAGTAAATAAATAAATAAATAAAAAGTGAAATTTTGGTGAGCTCAAGTTACTATGAATTATAAGACTTTGACTCTCAAGGCATTGGTTTAGTTACAGTTTGAATTTTATTGGTAATCTAATCACCCGCTTTCTTTTCTTTGTTTTTAGTTGCGTGTTCAATACACTAGTTTTAAGAACAGAGTTAAATTTCTGAATTAAATATTATATAAGATATGAATGTTTTTAAGAAAAATAATTGTTTTAAAATTAACAGTTACTTAATTTGAAAAGATAAATAACTCTCTACCTTATTTAATTCCATACAAGAAAAGTTAACTATGAATACACCTAAGAAAATAAACAAAATATTAATATATAAATGTCTTTAACTTTCTATACAGGTAATAATCAATGACTTGACATTTTATTAATTTTTAAGTTTTTCTAGCACAATAATAGTAAATAAATTAAAAATAATATTAAAATAAAAGACGATAACATTTTTCACCCTTCTCGTTATTTTATGACTTCATTCAAACAAGATATTAATGATGTCCAAATTGGTTGTAACTCGCGAGTCAACCCGGCTCACTACGGATTTAAGCCGGATTGAGTTTGAAAAAAATGTAACTTTTTTATGTGGGCTAGTTTTTAACCCAGTTCATCGGGTTGAACCCGTGGTGATCACCAACCCACCTAATTTAATTTAATTATTTATTATTTTTGTGTGTTGTTTTTCAATATTAATAGTTATTATTTTTGTGTTGTGATAAAAAAGAAGATGTTTCAAGAGAGAAAAATATTATAGATTTATCTATTCAAGACTCTAACATTATAAATGGACAAGTGATACAAAAACTATCAATGTTAAAAACTTATGGAGTTTAACATGACGTTTATTTAAATTTGAATTAAAAAAATTGTAATTTTTTTATTTTAAAAAAACTTATAATTAAATGAGTCAGTGAGTCAATCCGTTTAACCCACCAACCCGTGATGGGTCGGACCTGGTTCAAATTTTGTCAGTTTGCTAATAAGTGAGTCGGGTTGGGTTGACTCATTAAATGACCAGCCCGTAATGAGGCGGACCGGATTACCCGTTTTGACAACCTTACAAGACATAAGTGTGATATTAGGGACTAGCCAGAACAAAAGAGAAGTATTATGTCTATCTTATTATACCATTAAATTTTTCTCATGTATATATTAAGTTAATATTTAATTATAATAATTAAATTGACTTTTATTTAACATAATACAAAATAAAAATTTATAAGAAGAGTTTTAAAGATTATGTATCACGGATATACTACCTTAAAAAAAAATATCATAAGAAGGTCTTGTCGTAAGACTCTCAACAATGGGGATATTATTATGGAAAATGATACTTGAACAACCATTTTTGACAACATTTAGACACGCTCACACGTGTCAAAATCTGAGTGGTCCAGTTGGAAAAATTAAATGAAAATGGACCACTTAGATTTTGACACGTGTGCGCGTGTCTAAATGTTGTCAAAAATGATTGTTCAAGTGTCATTTTCCTATTATTATTTCCACAAAAATATAACATTTTTTTCTACCTTTCTTCTTCTCATGATTTTCCTGGACAATATAACCAATATCTAAATTACTCAAAGTTTTATTTCATACTTTACTATCTCTAATTATTATTTATCTCTTTTACATAAATTTTGCACAAAATCTATATTCAAATATAATTGGCACAAGTTAGGGTTCCAGTATAATAAAAAAAATGAGCTTATTCTAGTTGAGGAGATGGATATGAGTGTGAATTTTGTCTTATAAACCAGATTAAAAAGTTTAAAATAAAAATTGGATCTTTTAGGGGTAACCAACTTATAACACCATTCCATTTCCCAAAACAAGGAATTACACCAAGAAACAAAGCACCTCACTTTCCCAAACAACATTGAAAATAGACATTTCTAGATCTACACCCCCACATGGGACTTGGATAAGAGAGAGACCATGAAACATAGAGAAAAACAATTAAATTAAAGCCATCAATCCCCATAAATCACATTATTTATGATGTTTGTTTAGGAAACCAAGTTAAGAGTGCTTTCCCAATTCCCTGTCTGTCAAACCTTGCTATGTTATCATGTCTCAAACACCTCAAACCCAAAACACCTTCTTGCCATTCCCAACAACCCTATGCCCCCACACTTCATCATTTTCATCTTTACAAACTATCAAAAGCAACAAACTACACTCTAAACAATTTTTTTTTAAGTTGTTCTATTTAAGAGCAGAAAATACTCAGCAAATAAATAATTTTGTAATGGATACAAGAAGAAAACTAGCTACTAACTTCATTTTAAAAGTAGTGTCTTTTTCTCTTCAACAGTGACATTCCATGATATTACACCACTAATTAATGTTGATGAAGCTTATCCAACCAATTAAGGAGAGAATTTATGTATGTTTATAGTATAATATGACAGAGGTGTCTGTGTATGATTATATCATGCATGTTGATTCCATTACGTCAATGTTAGGAATCAGCTTTCTTCATTTATTTATTTCACTGTTATAGATTACCAGACTACATATATGTATGTGAGTGATGTAACCTTTACAAGAAAAAATGATAATGTTAAATGCGAAGGGTGAGAGAAAAATAATGTTCTTTTCACAACAACCATCTGTTGCTGTTGGTTGCCAGTGATTTGGACTTGAAAGCGCCCATCTTTTCATGTCCATTGACATTGATAGTTGATACATCACTTGGCTTGTTCATGTCTTCTTTTGACTCTCTCTTTCTCTGCTCCTATCCTCTTCCTCTTCCTCTTTCTTCCTCTTTGTCAAGCACTGTGTTTAAGTCTTACTTCAAAGCATAAACTTACTCAGTCACCACACCCCTCACACACACACATTCATAGAAAGATGGAGTCTTTGGTTGCTGAAACAGCCAAGAAGAAAGCAATGTGGTTGTATCCAAAGGTTTTGGGTTATAATCCTTCTGAAAGATGGGGGCACTCTGCTTGTTTCTCTGGGGGGCTTATGTATGTCTTTGGGGTATGAGTAGTAAAATCCCTTGTATTTTATTCAGAATGAATGCTTTTTTCTTTTTTTATGCAGTTCCTGGTATTAACTTCTGAGTTGTTCATGATGCTTGTTACTGGGTTGGCCTCATTTATGGTGTCTGAATTTCTCATTAGTCTTACCTTTTTGGAGCTCTGCTATTTAAGAGATGTGTTGTAATGTCTTCTTCACTGCTGGGAATTTTCACTTTTGTGATGTACTCATTAATTTCATAAGTTTCTAGTACTTCTTTCTCACCTTTCCTACTTCATAGCTATCTTTAGTTAATAACCAAAACACTTTCATCTCTGAATTTTAGTTTTTTCCTAATTTCTCTTGTTGCTTATATTTCTCTGTGACAATTGACTGAATTCGTTTTTCTTTCTCTAATTAGCTAGACAATACAAGTTCGGGAGACAATAAACTTTGTGCTTTCTTAATATAACTATGTACACATTTCGTTTTTCTCCTCCTTGCGTTATGTTTCTCAGCTTATAAAACATGCACCAGAAAAGGGCTTACATACATATCTTGGTAACATGAGACCTTCTTAATTATTTGATTAGCCTCTTGAGATGAATAATTTAATCATTGTAGAACTGTCAGTTTAACTTGTTAAGCATAATTAACCTCTGATTATCAAATGTTTGCTTTAAATTTGTTTCCGAATAACAAATTGTTGGGTGTGTACTCATTCCAGGGCTGTTGTGGAGGGCTACATTTCGGAGATGTTCTGTGTTTGGACCTTGTGAAAATGAATTGGAGCAAGCTTGGGACCACGGGTGAAAAGCCAGGTCCTAGAGATAGCCATGGTGCTGTTCTTGTAGGGCATAAAATGATAGTTTTCGGTGGCACCAATGGGTTAAAGAAGGTGAATGACACTCATATATTGGACCTTTTTACCAAAGAGTGGATTCGTCCTAAATGTGAAGGGACTCCTCCTTCACCAAGTGAAAGTCACACAGCTACTCTAGTTGGTGATGAAAGAGTAGTGATTTTTGGTGGCAGTGGTGAAGGTGACGGAAACTATTTAAATGATTTGCATGTTCTAGACCTTCGAACCATGAGGTGGACTTCTCCTCAGGTAAAAGGCGATTTGCCTGTCCCTAGGGACAGTCACAGCACTCTTGCAATCGGGAACAGGCTTTTTGTGTATGGTGGAGACTGTGGTGATCAGTATCAGGGCGATGTTAATGTGCTTGACATGGACACAATGACTTGGTCAAGGGTATGGTTTTCTCTCCTCTCTCATAGTTTGTTTTGTTGGTGTGCAACTGAATGACTAAAGATCATGTTTCTGGGACTTAAAACAAAAGGCTTTTCTTCATTTTGATCACAGTTGAAAATTCAAGGATCTTCTCCAGGAGTCAGGGCAGGTCATGCTGCTGTGAGCATTGGTACAAAGGCAAGTTCTTTTACATTGCATCAGTTTTCAGCTCTGACTTCATTTCAATTTTATCTGATGTGATGATGTTTAGTTACTTTGCAACTTGGCTTTTACTCAATATGTACTTAACAAGTTAGTTCAAATTCAACTTATAAGAGAATGCTGCACTAGGGTGAAAAATTCTTAACTTTGATGTGATAAGTAAAAAACCCTGCACCATACTGTTGACAAAAGATGTAAATTTTATGATTTACAGGTCTACATCATTGGAGGGGTGGGAGATAAACGTTATTACAATGACATATGGGTGTTTGACATATGCACCTGTTCGTGGGCTCAGCTTGATTTTCGTGGTCAACCGCCACAGGGGCGATTTTCTCACACAGCTGTTGTGGCAGACATGGATATTGCCATATATGGCGGGTTGGTTGGTTTACATTTACTTCAATTTAATAAATGTGAAGTGACAATTCCTATTTTCTTTTCTATTTCCTACTGTGCGAGTGAGATTTTCTTTCTGATATCTCACAGGTGTGGGGAAGATGAACGTCCTTTGAACGAGCTGCTAGTGTTGCAGCTTGGAGCAGAGCATCCAAATGGACGTTACAACATCTCCATGTGCAAAGTTTTTGGAACTTATTGGAATCAAGAAAAGAGGATCATACCTAGAGGAGCTGATACCAACTCGGTACAGAAGCTCATGTTGCTATGTTGTTTCAAGTTCTTGTTCATATGATGGTTTAGTTACTAACATTGTGTTTTAAAGCAGACAACTCCATGCACGGAGAACCATATGGAAGCCATAGGAAAATGGGCTAATGAAGTTGTGTTGGATAGAGTACAACCTTGTAACATCGATTCAGGCGGGTTAAGAAATTTTAAACACGATTATACAGTTCTGACTAATTTACAAGTGACATTTGATTAACTCGTAGCTTGAAAACTATAGTTGCATGATAATAATTTCTGCACTACTACGTGCAAAAGTAGAGTGAAGGATTCACTGAGCGAAAGTTGTGATTCCATGCAGGCAGTTCACAACACAAGAGGAAGAGAATTGGTGTGGCAAAGGCGTGGGATGTTGAATCAGAACAAGAAGAACATTCTCTTTCACTGTCCCAGCATTCATCTCCTTCTCAATCTGATCAAGAACAGACCCCAGCTCAAAAAGCTAATGTTTCTATCATGGATTCTGAGAGGTATCCATGGTTCAAACAGATCAATAAAAGTCCAAGCTATTGCCAGCTCGACAATGACTCAAGCAACACCACATTTTTTAAGAATCTCACACAAAGAAGTGTCCATCCCATGAAACATCAACCTAAACAAGAGCAGTATGTTCACATTGACGATGATAGAAAAGTACCTCGACACACTCAACACCTGGTGGGTCCTTGACTTTCAAATTTTGGACCTTTTCTTTTGTTATTCTTAGTTAATGGTGATTTCACTTTGGCTATTGCATCCTAGATCGGTGCTGAAGTTCGGGGAAAAGTTGATGGAGCCTTTGATTCAGGTTTACTCATGACTGCAGTAGTTAATGGAAGAGTTTTCAGAGGAGTCTTATTTGCACCAGTAAGCTTCTGAACCCGATTCCTATTTATACTACGTATAGTACAAAGTATGTACCAAAGAAATTGATGTGTCTGAACAGGGTGCTACAGTATTGTCTACATGTGTTGAGCCAAACTGTTGTTTATCACGTTCATTTCCCTCCACTCAACCATTTATGAACTCAAATGATGTGAGGGATTCGCAGCAAGCAACAGAGCCCTGCCATGGCTTCAGGCAACCTGTGGTAGCTCAAGCATCATCAGCAATCATGAGAGGCCCTACTTCTGCATCTTTAGCCAAAGAGCATCAAATGAGGAGTGACCTTCAAGGCTTGGTTTTGACTCTTGGAGGGCCTGCAAGTGCTAACCATGCTTCATCCTAGGATCAATTGTTGGGATGGCTAATAAGGTTCATGTAAACTTAGGAAATAATCCTTTCTTCTTCAATGCTTATGCATTTCTTCAATTTACCTTTTGTTATGTGTAATAGCATTTGGTAACTTATCTATATTTAATTATTTATTAATAGAATTTAGTATTGTCTTTATCTAAAGGTATGAGGATTGATTAGTTTCTCAAGAAAAATTAATAATTATTCATGTTGTGTGCAAATTATTTTACCTAATTATAATTTCATGGAATTTTTTTGGGATTATTTTATATTTATTAAAAAAGAATCACAATATATGATAGAATATTGAAATATACTACAAGTTATAGAAATATAGAATATTGTAATAGTTTATTTTTTAAAGTTATAGTTGACCCACGTAAATTTCCAAGGTTGACCCACGTAGGCTATGATATAGGCTGGGTCAAGCTTAAAAACCTGAGTGTTCCACTAGTTAGCCTTAGATAAGGTACAGAGAGTCGCCTTTATTTTGCTAAAACATGCAATTTACAATAATGACCCTCTTTTCTTTTTTAATAAAAATACAAAAATTTATTTTTTTATGATCAATTTATCTTTATACTGTGTTTATAAACACAGTAATATTTTTACAATAAAATTTAACTATTACACAACAGATGATTTTATATTGTAATATTTGTATTGATGACTGTTTGGAAAGAAATGCTAGTGATATGTAAGAAGTAATGTTCAATCATGGTCATACTATACGTCATGAATTGACATTTCTAGATAAAGCTTCGTAAGTTATAAATTAAAGACATGATATCTTTATAGCATGACTCTTTATGTAAAGGCTAGTTTGGAGTGTGGATAATAAATAGACTTTCCTAATGCACAAATTCAAATTCGGCCATATTCAAAACAGCCCCGGTAAACAACAAAAATAATTCAGTCAAGGTTAGAAATTCCATGACAAATCTCCACTTCGTATTCAACTTTAAAAAAATCATCAGAGATTCAACTTAAAACATTATTGTTCAAACTTTAAACAGTGTTCGGTTGTAGGGGCTGAGTCGTCTATTACCTTCGCGTCTCTCTCTGTCGTCTTGTCTGTGGGTGGAGGGAGACCTGCCAAAGATTTTCTGATGCCAAACTCAGTTTGAGAGTAATGATGTTTTCAATAGTATAGTAATAAATGTGCAATAAATGATCCCCTTACCACTCACCTTTGACCTTTATTTATAGTTTTTGTTATGGGCTTGGGATTAGTAAAAGGTTAATCACGGCCCAACTTTGGCCCAATATCTTTTAGTAGCTACTTACCTTAATCTTAATCTTAATCTGGTCAACTGACAGTAGGACCAGCCGACCTCCTGATGTTTGGCCTTACAGTCGGCCGGCTTATATATGAGTTGTTGTTCATCCGGATTATGAGTGGCAAAGTTACGTATTTGGGTAATTATCGGCCATACGGACGTCTGGTCTATACGCTGTCCGGTCTTACTGGTATGCATCAAAGTCGCGTAATTGTATGATTACGGGCCATACGGTCTATACGCTGGCCGGTCCTTACTGGTACAAACAGCAAGATTAAACTTAAATAGTTAGCACAGTTCAAAGCCTAAACATCAGTAGCTTTTTTATCCTAAATGACCTTTACATATTGTCTTAACTGAAGGATTCTTGGAGTTTGATTTGGTGTATTGAGTTGTTAAACAAAGGATTCTTTGATCCTTTGTTTCTCAAAGTTTTGTGGGAAACAAATATCATGTACTTGTATAGCTTAAACCAAAATAGCTGCTCTCCGTTCACTGCGACTATTTTCTCATGTGGTCTTGTCTGTGGGTAGGGCCTGCCCAAACATAAAGCGAGTAATATCCTACATAAAATAAGGTTCTAAAATCATAACGAAATATTTTAAAAATAATAGAGAAGTTATTATTATTATTTATAAATAAAAATTAAAATGTTTATTTTTCTCAATTATTTATTTATTTTTCATTTTTTGTGGTGTAAATATATTTTGAATAGACAAGTGTTTTATTATGAGTGTTTGTTAAAGAAAGTAAAAAGATGTGATAGTTATGAGTGCGTCAACTTAAACAGTAAGTAGGACGTAGTGGCGCAATACATGCAATAGATATATAAGATTTAAGATATTAATTGCAGTGGTAATAATAGTGAGACATAAGTGCAGAGGACAGAAAAACAGTAGTTAGGAGATGATAGTATAGTAGTAGCATTGGAGCGACAGGGTCGTGGTACGAAAGATCTTAGATGCAACTATTGTGGGCCTTACACTTTCAAACAACATAAATTTTCCCCCGTGCTTTCCGCGCGATGCTGCTCCTTTCTGTCCTCTAATGTCCCTCCTAATCCAAACTAATTTACTATTTTCATTTTATTATTATATCACTTTTATACACTCTTTTCTTTTAATAAATATTCTTCTATATAAGCTATGATCTTCAACAATTTACGACAATAAAATAAACACAAACTTAAATCACATGCATACAATATAATTATATCTCTTGACATTTCACATTTTATATATAATATATGAACTTTATATATATATAATTATGAAGTGGAAAGCATAATACAATTATTACATACAATAATAAATTAATCATTTAGACTGTTAGTGAAGTTAAATTAACTTTTGCTAATGTGTTCTAATATTTAATACCATAAACTAAGGAAGATTTCCATTATGGATCTCAACCAATCTAGTCATCAAATATCTCAATTGCAATTTTATTTTATCATGAACGTATCGAAACAAACAATTCATCATAATATAAATATTTGATAAGTAAAAAAATCATTAAATAACAAAATATACGTCTTAGTATATAGATATTTGTTTAGACGAGATCATTTTTCTTAAACGACCTTCCATTAGTAACAGAAGATGATTACTTACTCCTTTTCGTGCAAGTTGTGAAACTACAACTTCAGTAACTCTCATAACACTTTAGCACTGAACTTTAGAAGAGAGAAAAATCCTATAACTCTTCTCTTGTCACTTGAATAACTCAAGTTCTGAAGGAAGATATTCAACCTCTTTGTTTCTAAAATTGTAAATTATGACTTGAGCAAGAAGCTATATGACTTGAGTAATATTCAACCATAATATTAAATATTCGTGTTTAAGCATTGTTCGAATGATTAACTCTATTCAAATGTTATATGCCAAAAACAACAATTAAAGCAAGTTATTTTTACATCAAAGATTAACTCTTTCAAATTCATAACATTTTAATTATATAAATTCTTATCTAAAACCAGTCACAAGCCAAAATTATTTCAATTGTGAAGTTCAACTCAAATATATACCTCTAATAAAACAATAATCCTAATTAATCTCCACTAAAAGCCTTTTCAGTTAAAATTCAAAATGAAATCATAATTGTTATTGACAAAATATTATATATTTGTTGATGAGAAAAAAAAATTAAAGACATTGAAAAAAATAATTATCACAAAAGAACGTGTGTTAAAAAATATTAAAATCTAACACTAAAGATATCATATCATTAAGAACTTAAACTCACAGTATAAGATATTTGTAATGATTGATTGATGAGTAGTTGACTCGACGGTCAACCTTCACATTCAGAGATAATTCTTAGAAATTGAATGGTCATTAATAAAAGTCATTGGTCGATTCATAATTTTGCTAATATTGATCAAACTTACAAATTAAATATGTTTACAAGTAAAATATGTTTATCAACTCTTGGATCGTAATTAGATTGATGTTAATTAAAAGTCAGATCCGAAACCTATATATTTAAGCTAAGGATGTAGGTGATTATATTTATTACAGGATAATTAACTCTGCTTACCCTCGTAATTAGATTGATGTTAGTTAAAAGTCAAATCTGAAACCTATATATATTTAAGGTAAGGATGTAGGTGATTGTATTTATTACAGTGTCGATAATTAACTCTGCTTATTGAACGATCATCTACTAACTTAAGCATCAGAGTACCTTTTACAAGTAACCTTGCACAGTCTAAAGGAGGAAAGGAGCGAAGACTTGGATTGTAGGGCAGTTTGGAGCTTAGTGTGCAAAAGAGTTGATATTGACCCCACTACCGAAACATTTTGACACCCATCGTGAAGTCCAAGAATATTGAAAGTAACAGCGCAACAGTGACCACAAGGAATGTGAGCAACATGGTGTAAGGAAGACAAGAAAATCACCAGGACCCGATGAAAATGATTTGAGTTTTGCAGTAGCAGATGTTGGAGATGCAAAAGAGACACAAAAACAAGATGATAGTCTACATTATTACTTGAAAAGAATATGAACACTCGGTTGGCAGAGAAGGTCGAGAAAAATAGTGAAATGATGGGGAAGACCCACCCCTATTTATGGTGAACCAACCCCTTTCCCTTGAATGATATCGGCCATTGGATCGAACCATAATTCTACGGTCCAAGGTACGTGACCCTAGAGATTCTACCAGGCGCGAACTATGAAGTGTTACTCCTTATTTTTCTAATAGTCATTTTATGCCAATTGTTCAGGGATTCCTAAACGGTGGACACTTAATGGTCTTAGGCACCACTAATACTAATTGCATGGAATGACTGCCCTTTCCCATGCTTGAACTTGAGGGGTTTGACCGTATGATTGCCCGGTGAGCAGTTGACGGGGCGATCAACCTTCACATCCAGAAGTAGCTCTTAGAAACTGGGAGATTAATAATAAAAGTCATTGACCGATAAGTAATTCTCCTAATATTGATCAAACTTACAAATTAAGTATGTTTATGAGTAAAGTATGTTTATCAACTCTTAGGTATTTATTAAGTAAATGTTAATTAAAAACTCATTCTGAAACTTATAAATATAGATTTAAGGTAAAAAGGTAGGTGATTGTATTTATTGCATTGTCAAGAATTAACTCTCCTTGTTGAACAGTCATCTATTAACTTAAGTATCAACATACTTTTGGAGGTAATTCTCATAGAATCTAAAGAGAAAAAGAACAAAAACTTGTATTGTACAACAATTTGAAGTTTATTTATAACTTAATTTTTGAGATAGATAATCTGGAACTATTACCATCAAAACAATATTCATAACTAATGAGACATGAAATGTATTGTCATTATA